ATTCCTTCTTGTTCTTCTGGTGGAAGTCCTGCTATGAAAGCTCTGACCTCTGCATTGTTCGGGTCCTCGATCGGCAGATAGGTATCGTTCCACGCTTCTTGCATTCTCTGAACAGAGAGTTGAAACCTGGTAATCCAACGAAGCATGTCTCCGTTCCCACGGTGCATGTTCATGAACTGCTGGAAGCGATAGAGAAAAACATTCGCTGCTCCCTTCACGAAAAGCGGCCGCAGGAAACTCTTGAAGTACTTCACTCCGTTGTTCGGGTCCTTCAGGCGATCTCTGTCGAGAAGCCTCTTGTGGATTGCTGCTTCACCTTCTAGCCGATTTCTCAAAGCTGGTCCACGCTTATCATTGTCTAGCTCAGTAATGTCACACCAGTCATCGATCGCATCTTCATAGGCAAACCAACTGCTTCTACCATCATAAGATGGAGGTACTTTGGTGGTCACCTGCTGGAAAGCTGAAAGACGGTGTAATTCATTGAGATGACGATGATTAGTCGCGAAAGATTCATTTCCGTGGAGGAGGTAGTCATCATCTCCTCCTTCATGCTCAAAGATAGTCGCAGAGTGGCTAGCCATTGCGCTGTTCTTGGATCGAGCCCCGGGAGAAACCTCTTCCGGTTATCTTCACCTGAGTGAAGTGTGCCGGAGAGACTCCGGTCACCTTCACCTGAGTGAAGCACACCGGGTATTCCGGTTGCCTCCACCTGTGTAGAGAGTACCGAACGGGTACCTCCACAAGTGTGAAGCTTCCCGTTTCCCGGGAGCTCCGCTACCACGTTGAGATGTAACCTGGACGTGTATCCCCTCGCTAGGCGTACAGGAACACAGGCACTCAGGTGTCTCTTTTGCTACAGGCGCACAGCTGTAGTCCACTGCACTAGAACCTTGAGCAACAGGCATGGATACATGCAAGTGATACGTGAAACACACAGGCACCTGGATGTGTAACATTCAGTGTTTCACCCTCCCCCCTCCCCTTCCCCTCCCCCCCGCCGCTCCCCTCCCTTCCCCCCTCCCCCCCCCCCTCCGCTAGGGTTTTGGGCCCTAGGGTTTAGCGAGCCTTTTTACTTGCTTTACTTAAAACAAGCAAGAAACGGTGTTGACACCATAGGAAATTTAGGGTTTAGCTACAGCCGCAAATGTTTCCAGAGTAGTTAATTGGCAATTTCATAACTGTGAGGTTTAGGTCCTGCCGCACACCGACTGATTTTAGGGTTTAGCTTGCCCAAGACTAGCAACTAACTATGAACTAAAGGACCGGATAACCCCACATGTGAAGATCATCCATTCGTATAGAACACAAAGGTGCAGAAGAGTAAATGAGTGAGGGAGTAAATGAGTGTGTGAGTGAACGAATGAGTGAGTGCTGCTGTGAGTGCGTACGTGGGTGTAGGGTGTATGATGTGTGCATGTGTGGTGTGCGAGTGTAGAGAGAGAGAGAGAGAGAGAGTGTGTGTGTGTGTGAGTGTGTGTGTGTGTGGGTGTGTGAGTGTGTGAGTGTGTGAGTGTGTGAGTGTGTGAGTGTGTGAGTGTGTGAGTGTGTGAGTGTGTGAGTGTGTGAGTGTGTGTCTGGGTGTCTGAGTGTCTGTGTGTCTGTGTGTCTGTGTGTCTGTGTGTCTGTGTGTCTGGGTGTCTGGGTGTCTGCGTGTCTGTGTGTCTTTGTGTCTGTGTGTCTGTGTGTCTGTGTGTCTGCGTGTCTGTGTGTCTGTGTGTCTTCGTGTCTGTATGTCTGCGTGTCTGCGTGTCTGCGTGTCTGCGTGTCTGCGAGTCTGCGTGTCTGTGTGTCTGTGTGTGTCTGTCTGTGTCTGTGTGTGTGTCTGTGTGTGTCTGTGTGTGTGTGTGTCTGTGTGTGTCCTGTGTGTGTCTGTGTGTGTCTGTGTGAGTCTGTGTGTGTCTGTGTGTGTGTCTGTGTGTGTCCTGTGTGTGTCTGTGTGTGTCCTGTGTGTGTCTGTGTGTGTCTGTGTGAGTCTGTGTGTGTCTGTGTGTGTGTCTGTGTGTGTCGGTGTGTGTCGGTGTGTGTCGGTGTGTGTCGGTGTGTGTCTGTGTGTGTCGGTGTGTGTCTGCGAGTCTGCGTGTCTGTGTGTCTGTGTGTGTCTGTCTGTGTCTGTGTGTGTCTGTGTGTGTCTGTGTGTGTGTGTGTCTCTGTGTGTGTCTGTGTGTGTCCTGTGTGTGTCTGTGTGTGTGTCTGTGTGTGTGTCTGTGTGTGTGTCTGTCTGTGTGTGTGTGTGTGTTGTCTGTGTGTCTTTGTGTCTTTGTGTCTGTGTGTCTGCGTGTCTGTGTGTCTGCGTGTCTGTGTGTCTGTGTGTCTTTGTGTCTGTGTGTCTGCGTGTCTGCGTGTCTGCGTGTCTGCGGCGTGTCTGCGAGTCTGCGTGTCTGTGTGTCTGTGTGTGTCTGTCTGTGTCTGTGTGTGTCTGTGTGTGTCTGTGTGTGTGTCTGTGTGTGTGTGTGTGTCTCTGTGTGTCTGTGTGTGTCCTGTGTGTGTCTGTGTGTGTGTCTCTGTGTGTCTGTGTGTGTCCTGTGTGTGTGTGTGTGTGTTTCTGTCTTAGTGACCCCTGAACGCGAACGCGAACGCGAACGCGCTGAACGCGGCCCGAACGCGTGTTCAGAACGCGGCCTCGTGAACGCGCTCACTTTGACACACGAACATTGCAAAAAACAGTCTCGTGGTCCAAAATCAGGGTTTGGGCACAGAAATTAAGGACCGGAGCTGCAGAATTCAAGTTAGGGACCTAAAATAATGGTCCGGGGATCTAAAGCTAAGGCTCGCGATCCGAGAATTCAGGTTTGGGGCCCGTTTTTAAGGACGCTCTGGTCCGAAATTAGGGTTTGGACACAGAAATTAAGGACCGGAGCTGCAGAATTCAAGTTAGGGACCTAAAATAATGGTCCGTGGATCTAAAGTTAAGGCTCGCGATCCGAGAATTCAGGTTTGGGGCCCGTTTTTAAGGACGCTCTGGTCCGAAATTAGGGTTTGGACACAGAAATTAAGGACCGGAGCTCGAGACTTCAATTTTTGGACCTGAACTAATGGCCCGGAGCCCTGAAATTAAGGTTGGCGACCCAAAATTAAGGACCGGAGCTGGAGAATTATTTAATTTTAAGGACCGGATCTCGAATCTCGAGAAGTCTGGGAGTCTGGGACCAGAAACTAAAAGGACCGGTGATATAAAATTTAAAATACTAAAATACTAAATTAAAATACTATACACCGTGACACCACACCACCAGGCCGGTGACCAGGAGTAGGAAGAAGAGGAGGACCTGAGCGGGATTATGAGTGGGTGGGAGCTTAGAGGAACTGAGGAATGAGTCATGAGTCATGATCATGAGTCATGAGTCATGAGTAGTCAGTCATGAGTCATGAGTAGTAGTAGTCGTAGTCGTAGTCGTAGTGGTAGTTGTATTTTTGGTCTTGGTGGCATAGTAGCAGCGGCAGTATCAGTAGCAGTAGTAGTAGTAGTAGTCAGTCAGTCGTAGTAGGAGTAGTAGTATAGTAGTAGTAGTAGTAGTAGTAGTAGTAGTAGTCGTAGTAGTAGTAGTAGTAGTAGTAGTAGTAGTAGTAGTAGCCGTAGCGGTAGCGGGAGCAGTGGCGATTGTAGGGCTAATAGAAGCAGCACTACCAGTCTACCAGTAGAGTAGTTAGTAGTAGCTATTACTAGTAGTAGTAGTAGTAGTGAGTGAGTAGTGAGTGAGTAGTGAGTGAGTAGTGAGTACCAGGCACCAGGACCAGGACCAGTACTAGGCACTGGGCACTAGGACTAGGCTAGGCTACGTGGCCGCGGTCCCGGCTTCGGTTCGGAGCTCGGGGTCGAGTGGAGGTCGGGGTAGTGGTCTTATTGGTTTTCTGCAGATTTGCAGGGTTTGTTGGAATTAGTTAATGAGTCATGAGTTGAATGAAATGGAAATAGCCGAGCTGGGAAACCAGTAAACCAGTAAACCCCAAAACTCGCAAAAAAGGAACCCGAAATAATTCCTGAACTCGTAATTCCCCGCCGAAGTCCGAAAGGAAGTGACTCAGTGACTCTGACCCGAGCCCTGAAAAGCGGTGCCGGGAGAGTTGCTGTGACAAACTTTATCCTGCCGCTCGCACACCCGAGCTTGTCGTCGTGAGTCGTGAAACTGGAAAGACAGTCCTGCTGTGGCAGACTGATTGAATAGCCCACAGCCCAACACCTTCAGGTAGAGCTGCTTTCGGAGCTCGAGCTGCTTGAGCTCGAGTCCTGCTCACTTTGCGAGGCTTCATTCACCAGATCATCGTTGAAACGGAAAACCGATGCTGCCACTGCAGAGCTCTTCTGTGTACGTTTCAGAGGCTTTCGGTTGAAAAGCAGCGGCCAATTGTACACGACATTCAAAAGCTTTCGTTTGAGGCCCACTTGCATCCGATTTCGGATTGGGGTCACCTGCCGGCACAGTGTGCTCCAGCAGCGTTCTGAAGTTCCTTGCGAAGGCCGCAGAGCCTTCAGTCGCAAAAAGATCTTTAGAAGTGAACTGCTCGGCTGTTTTTTCCGCCAGAACTCCACGACATCGTCTTCGGACTTCACTTTTTGCAACAAGCGCTCCATGCCGCTGCCAGGCAAAAGATCGCCACTCAACCACTTGCCGAAATCTCGGGCAGCTGCCTGACCTTGAGTTTCCATCCAGCTGGTGGCCAAGGACACAGACCATTGCCAGGCCTCCGGAAAGTCGAAGCCGACGCCCTTGACTGGGGGAGGTTTGGTCGAGTCTTCTTCTTCTTTTGCAAAAGTTGCAGACTCAATTGCAATTGCAGACGCAGACACTCAAGTTGAAGCGTGGGCAGTGGGCAGTTTGCAGCTTGAAATACCAAAAAAACGGTTTAGGGTTTGGGGTTGAACATTGAGGGTTAAACGGCTTTTAGTTTATAGTTTGTTGTTAATAGTTAATAGTATAGTAACGTATAGGGTTCAGGGGTCTTGCAACTCCTCTATTGCCGCCGGGCATCCAAACCGTCTTCCCCATGCATGAAAGCACTCCGCATCGACGGGTCCATGACGAAGGCGCAAGCATGCTCTCCACGTAGAAATTGCTCTCGTCGGTTGGACAAGACAGTCTGCAGCTGTTGAAGCCGCTCAGACTTCACCTCCGGATCCTCCTTCGTCATCCTGTCGACAAAATCACGTTTGCGGCAGACGTCGATGAGGTTCTTCTCCATCTGAAACCACGCAGGCACCATTGCAGCTAGGTGCATCTTCCCTGCCTTGCGGGTGAAGGCCTTGACAGGCTGCAGAATGCTCTCTGCACGCCGGCAGCGTTCTAGCGTCGGCTGTCTGTTCCAGAGCTTCTCTGCTCTCTCAACCCTGGCTTCGGCCGCTTTCCCTTTTGGGCGTGTCAAGTCCTTCCAAGCCTGCGATGTCATCAGGTCCCGCATGAAGTCACTGTTCTCGTTGAAGGCCTGTGTGACATCAAACGCCGAAGCAAACCGGGTCCTCCGCAGAACCTTCAACTTGACGATGCGACGGAGCTTCCTGTCCTTCTTGGCGTCTGCCTGATTCCGGCGGATGAAATGGTTCAGCTTTTTCTTCTTTCTGAAGACACGCTGGCTAAAATGTGCGTCCTTGACGATTTTGCCAAGCCAGGGGAAAACATCCATCACATCCTTCGCGAGCAACTCCCCTGCATGTTCCAGACAGCCGAGGCCCGAAAAGCCAGGTCCGAGCTCCTCCTTGAGGATGGCCAGTGCACCTGGACTGGACTGGACACGACATACTGTTTCTGCACTGCCTTGCCTTGCAGAAGGGCACCGGCAGGCAGTGCAAACTGCAAACTTTGCAAACAAAACAAACACCTCCCAAACCAGGGCAAAACAAGAGCCAACAGCGACGATTTCAAATTCAAAGACGGGATCTAAGGGTTGCGGTTTAAGAGGCTTAGGGCTTGAGGAGGAAAAGGCAAAACAAACCCAGTTGCTGCCGAAGAACCGCAGCAGTTGGTTGCATTGTCCGTTGTGGTTCCAACAAGTGAGTCACCGATCCGTGTCACGGATTCTTTCAGCAACTGTGCAATGTACTGCGAAGTCTTCTTGTCGGAACCAGCATCCACCAGGTCGACAAACAGGACCTCCCCATCTGCACTCTCAGCCAAGACGTTCAAGAGTTGCTCGTCTTTGCTTGAGGCCCCGTCGTGCACTAAAGCCCACGGCCCTCCTTTGGCAAAATAGGCATCCACCTTGCTTTGCAGCTCTTTGTGCATGGACTCAAGCAAGTTGTGAAATTCATGCCTTTTCGGAGGTGTATACTGCCCTCGAGACAGCAGCTGGAATAACTCGTCAGAGACAGGGTGAGAAACTCCACGGACAGAAACGGCTTGGACAGCAGCGGTGACGACATGAAGCCTCTTGGCATCCGTCAACTCCGCTTCCGTGAGTGGCTCTAGTACCTTCTCGTCCTTTTCTTCATCCAAAGCCACCAGACCAGCAAGTTTTGCCCAGGGCAGGACGTGGTTTTCTCCTGCCGCCAGCAATTCTCGAATGGTCTCAGCATCAGGCTTGTACTGCGGACAGCCCCTATTTCTGATGGTTTTGTCGCCCCGCACGCTCTTGACGAATGCCTTCATCTGCTCCGGGACTTCATCCACCCCGTGCAAGTCCTTGTACGCCTGCTCGGAGATTGGACCAAGCAAATGGTAGATGCAGCGGGTCGGACTCACCCCTACGCTTGTCCATCTCCCTTCGGCATGCAAAGCACAGTTCAGGCAAACCCAAGTCGGAGTCAAGGCGCCCTCTGCCACTGTGGATTTTTTCGAGCTGCTTGTCGCCTTTGTTGACATGTCCAGCCTCACGAAGTTACCCTGCAGCAGTTTCTTGACCACATCTGATCTTATCGCAGTCTTTTTGGCTGCTGTGACCGAGCACTGGGCCCATTCTGTCGGAACTCTTCCTCTCCACGCAGTGTCACCGGCCATGTCGCACTGATGGCGAACGAATGTGTAAAAAAAACAATGTAAACAGCAAACGCAGCTTCGGGGGTTCAGTCGGGTTGAGTGTGATTGTGCGTGTGTGAAATTGTGAAGGGAGGCGTCTCTTTGGCTCTTTGGTGACTTTGGTGTTTTGCGAGCTCCGCAGGCTTGAAGGAGCTTAGGGTTTGGGACTTGAAAGGAAAAGCCATGGTCTGCGACCAGCGAGTAGTAGCGAGTCGCGAGTATCGTCAAGTATCTTCCGTGTCTTGCTGGGTAAACGTAAACAATTAGTGAAGAAAGCTCCGTAGGCTTGAAGCAGTTTAGGGTTTGGGGCTTGAAAGGAAAAGCCGCGGTCTGCGAAGCACAGTGTATCTTCAATCTTCAAGTATCTTCCGTGTCTAGTCTAGTCTTGCTGGGTAAACAAAGCTCCGTACGGGTAAAAGAGGGAGTGGACTTCTCCTTTAATGTCCTAAGCCTTTGGGCAAGGAGCTTTTCTGCCGAGTCGGACCTTTAAAGGAAACTCGAACGGAACCCTTACAGGAACCCATGTGAGTGGGATCTTCAGCCCGTCCATACCATAGGGTTTAGTTTAGTTACCCTATATTAAGAGTTAAGAGGGTGTAGTAGTGAGGGCCAGACAGTCATATACGCTACTACGCTACCTTGGGCATTGGGGATTCACGCCAACAAGGGTTCGAGTTCGACCGATGTTCGGTCGAAGGGGCCGGGCCAGGGTTCGACCGAACTTCGCTCGAACGGGCCGGGGTTCGAGCGAAGTTCGGTCGAAGGGGTCGGCGGGGTCGACGAAGTTCGGGCGAAGGGGCCGGTGGGTTCGACCAATTTTGGGCGAAGCCTTCGTCAAACACTCGATGATGCTATATTTATATTTATTTTGTACGATTATTGCTAATAGCTAAGTATTACTAAGTATAAAAGTATAGTATGAAGAATTACACGATGAGGTTAAGAGTTAAGAGTTAAGACTGTTAAGTTAAGACTGTATGGTATGGTATGTATATAGTATAGTGACTTGTTGTATAATAATCTGGAGCTCGCCGTCGATCTGGCTCACGACGCCATGGGCCATGGAGGATGAGGCACCTGACGCAAGGAAAGTCAGGAGTTGCAGCAGGCAGGCACATGCTCCTAAAGTCGTCCTAGACTCCTAGACCTAGACTTGCACTCCGAAGAGGCTCAGTTTCAGACCAAGCTCATATTCCTCCTGCAAGATGCAGGTCTATCGGAACGGTGATCTTGTCTGTGACCCAAATTCCAAAGATGAACATGACTAACATGACTTGACTGTTTATGAACTTATGAAGTGAATTTCAGATGACACAGGACCAAATCAAACAAGGATACACGGGTGTAAAGAGTCAAAGAGGCTTGTGCTTCTTGGTGGAAAGTTACACAGCTACACTATTTTATGACAGTAGTCAAATGCCCCTGTAAAATACTGCAGCATCCTCGGTGTTGCTTGCCTGCTAGACTGACTTGAGCTATAGTATAGATTCTAGATTGAAGACTTGACTCTAGACTCTAGACTATGAATGAAGCCAGGGGCCAGGAGTGAGGATGTTCGAGAAGCACTCCGTGGAATTGTATTAAGTATTAATGTCCATGTGAGCTTGATGTCTGCCATGCAGTAAGAAGCCTAAGTCGCTGCATGTCCATGACGACTCCGTCGGACAGTCCCTGAATCCTGAAACCCAGCACGAGCTTTTGGCCACGTGCTTGCTATCAACTATCAACACGAGCTGAGTGCCACGTGTTCCAATTTAATATCCCAAAAATCTTATCCTGCCTGACTCTTGAAATTTGAGCACGAGCTCTTGGCTACGTGCTCAGTGCTTACTAAACACGAGCTGCATGCCACGTGTTTCAATAATATCTCGCCCGGTTACACTATCCAGCGACTGCCTGAGCACTGAGCACACGGGCAGTGATTCCCCTGCACAGACAAAGTATCTATGCGACACGAACTTGACTTGACAAACCTACCCTGAAACCCCTACTAGTTACTAGTTACTATAGAATAGAAGCCCAGCACACGGCCTTGCGACTCGCGACATGGGACCTGATCTGTGTAGTTCAGGATTCAGGAGATTAAGGAGGACTGACCGGGGCCTTACTCTTTTCCACATGAAATCTGAAATCTGCAGAAAACCGGCAAGTGTAGCAATGCCTTGCAGGGCCGCACGTGGTTGAGGAATCGAGGAAGCAAAAGCTCGGGTTCTGGGCCTGGGGAAGCAAACAAGTTCTGGGAACCTCACTCTGAGCCGGGCTTTGTTGACTCAGGCCATGCCTGCGAAGGCACCCCGACTCCTGACTCCTGACCTTAGAACAGGAAGTGACTAACATGGAGAATAATCTACAAGTGAAGTGACGCGGCTGCACTCTCTGGCAATGGCTGTGTAACTTCAAAGACTTCAAAGCAGTGCTGACTCATGTCAATGTCACATGTCTGTGTTGAGGCAGTAAGCCTGAGTACTGCAGTACCGCACTGAGTCCTGAGTCCTGAGGAGTCCTGAGTGCCTCGCCAAGGAACACGGACTCCACAGCCTGTCATGGGGGTATCTGGAATCTGGAACAGTGAGGACTGAGGACGAGAGAACGGCTCTTGCCACTTGTCACTTGTCACTTGTCACTGTCACGCATCCACGCAGCAGAGGAAGTTGCATTGTTTCTCGCGGGGGCATTCACGCGAATGATGATGAAGCAACGTGGCAGCCGCTGCAGAATTTCGATTGCATTTCTTATGTAAGTTCCACCCTGTTCTATCGACTATCGACAGAGGCTATAGGCTACACCGCTCTTAAATTTAAATTAAACACTGGATCCCGGCTCTGCTGGCTGCCAAAAGAATAGGCTTCCTTGGGTGATGCTTCCGGGTGAAACGTCCGTCTCGAGAAGAGACCGCAATACCTGACCGCAATGTCAGCACGAAATCTATTTCGTACAGATGTATACTGATTTGAGTGAATAGACCGACTGATGACTCAGGAATTGCTAACATCAATTAAATTCTGTGACCGTAGTACAGTTCAGAATGCTGAGTCAGGTAGCGAGGCATGCCGACAGTCGAATCCGATTGATGTCCAACTATCTTTGTGTAATTTAATAATTTATATGCATTCTGCATTGTATGACCAGCCCTTTTTCATGGTTCCCCCACAGAATAATAGAATAAACAGACCGGCGAGTAGAGTTTGTTAAACAATCAGTTCTTACTAAGGGATATAGGTTTAGGCGGTCTCTGTCTATTATTTCGATCGGCCTCGACTGTCGATTAATCCTCCTCCGACTCCTCTTCTTCCTCCTCCTCGTCACCGTCAGAGTCAGACTCACTGTCCGGCGGCGGCCCCAGTGCCCGGCGACTAGAAGCTGCCGCTGTCATGGTCTGGGAGGCTTGGACGACCTTAAGTCTTAAGTGACTCCAAAAGTCTAGCTTTAGGCTAGTATTGTTCATTTTGGATTACAAGAAGAAGCCCAAAAAGTGAAAATCATAAGTAAAATTTTATGGCCAAGCAACAGTGGCCTGATTGGATCGAAACCACATGGACAAAACAGCCATGTCGAGGGCATTCAGCCTTATAAGCCACAGATACCAAAGGTTGAACTTGTCGATTCCTACTAAACTCTGAGAACCCAAAAAGTTGAAAGGTTAGGTATTGAGCATCCAAGTAACGGAGAGGATGAGGATGAGGACATCCCAGCCCCAGGCAGCCCAGGCACTGGCACAGTCCCAGTCCCATAGTATTTCTCGGCAGCTTTTTTTTTTGACCCTGCCCCCTTCCGCTTCTTCTTGCCTAGGCTGTTCAGCAACCCACGGGGAAAAAGTATATGTCCTATTTTATAATTTATAATTTATAATAGGAACTAGGAACCCAAAATTATCAAAGTACAAAACTCTACCAGTGGACAGCCTTGTTTCGGATCCTGGGCTGCTCTCGCCGCTCCTCGTTCGCCGTGCCCGGGCGACCGTCGCCTAAGGAGTCGCCTAGGCTGTTCTTTAACCTAGTGGTAAAAAGTACTTTTTCTACTAAAATGGGAACCCAAAATCCTGAAAGTACCAACGTGTACCACTGCTTTGCCTGGTTTCGGCCTCGGATCCTGGGCTCCACCACACGGGGCTCGTGCTTCCGCCGCTCCTCTGGGTCGCCTAGGCTGTTCTTTAACCTAGTGGTAAAAAGTTCTTTTTTGTTTTTCTAAAATGGGAACCCAAAATCCTGAAAGTACCAACGTGTACCACTGCTTTGCCTGGTGTCGGCCTCGGAACCTGGGCTCCACCACACGGGCGTCACGGGGGGGCTCATGCTTCCTCTTCTCCGCCCTTGGCTCCTTCGCGGCCGTCTCGCTGTTTGTGCCTAGGCTGTTCAGTGACTGTTCAGTAACCCACTGGAAAGGAATATGTGTCTGGACTCTGGACTCTGGACTCGACTCTGGACTCTGGACTTATATCAGGAAGACAAAAAGTTCAAAGTAGCAAGTTAAGAGTCAGGTGCACCACTCCAAAACCTAAACCGGTAATTCCTCCATGCCACAGCCCTAACCCCTCAAAGCAAACCCGTCACATTCCCTGACTGACGTTTTGAAACTAATCTTTGTTGTAATAAATGTGTTATCTACTATCCTACCGACCCAATGCAGCACGAGCTCAGAGCCACGTGCTAAGCACGAGCTGAATGCCACGTGCTCCAATAAATTCTTTATTGTACGTAATCTTGTAATACTATTACTACTTACTAAACTAAAAATACTAAATTTCTAATCCAAGCACGAGCTGAAAGCCACATGCTAAGCAGGAGCTACAGCCTAAATCCGACCCACTGGGAAGGAAGACATTTCATAATTTCTTATATTATATTAGGAACAGAAAAACCTGAAAGTAGCAAATAGCAAGTACAAAGCTGTACCAGTGAACAGCCTGGTTTCGGAGCCTTGCCCTGGGTTCCACCACCACCTGCCGCTGCCGCTGCTT